AAAAACCCCAAGATGGTGAATTTGTGATATTACATTGACTCCGATACCCTGGAGCTAAAACTGTTCATCTCTGTTAAGACTGACTGAATTATCCTACTGTGTTGATTCTGTGAAAACTGTGTTACATGTGGAAGCCGTTGATACATCAGCAGCAGTCTTGTTTCCTTTTTCGCCCCTGAACACAAACCTGGATCAGTAAAAAGATCTTTACGCACATCTTGGTTGGAGAGTCCGTCAGCCATCTCTCGACCTCAGGAGCAAAGAGGGCTTTGCCCGCCAGTGTTACACTCTTGTTTCAATGAAACACTATGTATATCCTGTAAATAATGTCCAATTAAAATCAAAAAGATAATCTATAACGTACCGTTGGTGTTATTTGTGTCCTGTGTCAGCTTATTTTTGTCAGAGCAGAGTTTGTAAATGTGGTTTATGAGGACAAGCAGTTAAATCAGGTTCACCATCATGCAGTTGACAAAGACCTTCAAAAGTGAAGTGTAAAAATGCTCGACAATCTCAACAGAGGCCACCAGAGGGCCTTATTAATGACAAATATAACAAACGTTATTTTAGAAAGTATTAAAAGTATGGTCATTTAAGTTTAAGAAGAATAAAGGAAAGAAAAATAACTATTCTTTCCTATTTATTCATTGCTGTCTTGATTTAGTTTAGAATTTCTTCCTGAACACATGACATAAATCTTTCTGTTAACAGCTACGTGCCCACATTAGCAGACATTAATTTAGAAACCTATTAGTTAAAGATATTAAGATGAGCTCTGATCATACATCATTAGAACTGTACAGAGGCACTGGAAATACTTTTCTTTTTTGGCCCATAAACACAAACTTGTGATTCATTTCCATTTAAAATAAAACTTGAACATGGCTTTGGTGTTTTGTGAATGTGTTTGTGAATGTGGTTTATGATAACAAGGAGTTAAAACTGATCTGGAAGAAGTATACCGGGCACGCCATCATGCAGTTAAAGGGACTTTTAAATGTCTGGTTGATGGTTTTCAGAAGTATAGTCCACCTCAACAGGACCACTAGGGGGACTGAGTAATAACAAACATACATTTGGCAGTGAGGGTGAGTAATAGTGGTTTAAAAGGAAAATACTTTAATTTATTCTTACAAGAGTGAAGGAAAGAGAAAAGTAAAAAATTGGTCCTTTTTCTTCATATTGGTTTTAAACCTTTAGAATTGCTTTGTGCACCAGGTATTACATTTATACATTAATGTTATAACCTCGAAGAAACTATAGACAAACTCAGAGCTGAATGCTTAAGAAAACTATATGTATTTTTTTCTCTTAGTTAGTCTGTGCCTCCCATAAATGGCACTGTTATAATTGTGGGGGTGTCATTATTCTCCAAGTACAGACCAACAGGGGGTTTCAAGCATCACTGCAGTGTTGAAATGAAGCGTTTTCTTCTGGGATCACCTTTTTCCTTGACAACGCTGCTCCCTAGTGGTCAACAGAAGACACTCCACAGCCACAGACAAGTTCATTTAACCTTTTTTATCCCACACAGATTAATTACCAGGATTGTCAGCCTGAATAAAGATAATTTGAAACATGAAGACATGCCAGGGAAATAATAATTGACTAAATTTTCAGCTCATGTACTACTTTTTATATTCAAGCCTGTAATGGAGTTTAAGGGTTTGTTATTGATCTGACACGAGGTCAGTTCTGTAGCAGTTCTGGAGTTTTTGATTATATCACAATCTCCATCAGCACGTTTAGTTTGCCCAGCTGTCATGGAATTGTAGGTGTTCAAATTTCCATTTTTGTTTGAGCACTTAAAGGATTTCTTGTCTTCGTTGGCTCAAAAGTTAAAATCTACAAATGAATTTGATACAGTTTTGACAAATGAATTTAACCACATTTAGTGGCTGTTCTTGAGCTTTTTTACATGCCTGTAATTCCTTTTTATATTTTTCACTCTGCTGTCTCATTGTAGACCTTAACCACTGCTTTCAGCAATTCAACCATGTTCACTTCTCTGATGCTCATAACTTGATGACTTCTAAAAGATGATCAGACACATTTTCAGGACTGTGTAGGAAAGTGCAGAGAATGGTTGAATGACATCTCCCTAACTCTCACGTTTGCTTTATTGTTTATTGTATTGATTAAAAGGAGTAGTCATTCACATTTAATGCGAGTTTCAGCTCATTGTTTAGCTGTCAAACCCACAACTTTACTGTTTTGCTTCACTTTTACAGTTTGTTTTTGGCTGCACAAGTTGGCCGTTTCCTGCTAACAACCGACTGTACACTACTTGCTCAGCCAAATTATGTCTGTCTACCAAATGGCAGACAGAGTTAGCGACTAACTGATGAACATAGTGGAGCATTTAGCAGCTAAAGAGGCGGATATGTTCTTCAGCAGTTGGTAGAGACCAAACAGAGCTAAATAAGAGTGAAATATTGGACTTAGTCATCCAGCCAGAAACACAATTTCAAAAGAACGATAACGTTGCTGCATAACTGCTGGATGTGTAAATAAGGCAATAGGTGCATTATATTCCATTAAACAGTGAGGAATATGCAATGTTGTGATTGTTTTACCTTGCTGCCCAAAAAACATGGCCTAAAAATCAGTTATGCAGTTAGACCGCAACAGTAATATTATTAGTTAAAGGAAGCTTTGCAACTTGATGTCTGGTAGTTCTTCATTGTTTGAAACAAAGAAAAGACAAGCATCAAGCACAGACACATGTTGTTTCAAAAGGTGAAAATTTTTGGGAAAGTGTAGAACAGAAAGCATCACATCTACAGAGATGGAGATGAACTTCAAAAACTTCCATCTTCTAAAAATCTCCAAATGGAGGTGTTTCCTGTTCCTTCATGGTGAAAGCCCTCTGACCAAAACACAGCAAGCAGATCAAGAAGCAGCTAATTTATTTCACTACTCTCCTGGATCTTTGCAGACGTTCAATGGTCACCTCATTGAACATTATTACACCATTTCAGGCAGGGGGTGGGATTCATTTCACTTGAATCTGCCCCGCCACCGGCCACCCAAAGCCCGCAGGGAACTGTGCCTTACATTACAGCTACTGCTGAATGCGGGTCCGGCTAAACGCCAATCAGGGGCGCCCTGATTACCATCACACTCCCCATCGGCAGATTCCAGGCCCGCCATGGCCCCCAAGAGATTAATAAAGGCAATGCAAGCTGTTTTTTAAAACTAGGCTTTCCATCCTGGAAATAATTATATAAATATTTTAAAAAAAGAACATTGACAAATATTCAATTAACGCAAGCTTGCGATCAGGACGCCAATAGTAGGAGAGTATTCATCCGTAACGGCAGGCGGCGCACGCCTGCGGAGAGACTCTCCACTACATGAAGGCTGTTGTCGTTCACAGAGCGTTGCATCCTTTAGAAAATCAACTGTCCCCCCCGCCCGCCCAGCGCTCGCTTGGGCGGGCAACCTTACAGTAGTTTCCCCAAGTCACATGATGCTAATGCAAGAATAAAGGGGCTCTTGCATTAACATTTCCTGATTGGGTAATATTTTTTTCCTAACAAAAATATGAAATCTATAGAAAAAAAATCTTCATCATTCAATAAAGGTAGAGATATCAAAAAAGGAAAATGTTGGGCTCTCCGTTGTCTTTCACGTTTTGGAAGGGCCAAATTTCGCAGCCTAGAGGAAATTGGCACTTGAGGAAGCTGAATGGGTCCTGTGAGGGGGCATCGGCCAACCCGCCAGCAGCGAGGTGGGTTTTCATTTTGCTTGCGGGCGTGCTTGTATTTGTCTCCACCGTAGGCCTTCAACCCAGGTTGGGGCCACCCTTTAAAAAACTGGAAAAGTTTTTTTTTCAACCCCCCTCCCCCCACTCTTTGCTTGTGACAAAAAATTCTGGGAAGGGAAAAAAAACCAAGATAAATTGCAAAAAAGTCAAATTAAAAATAAGGAAGAAAAAAAATAAAAAAGCAAATTTACCCAAGCAGGGGAAAAAAAAAACGGCCTTATTGGCCATTTTTTTTGCCAAAAGCCCAAAAACCCCCCCCAAGAGCCAATTGAAGTGTGAGGACTACTTAATGTTCAATCAGGCTCTAGGCGTAGGCATAACGTAAGTAACGTAGCAATAACCCGGCCCCTAACTATGCTTGAATATCTACAGCAGTAACAGAAGTGTTCTTCAAAGACTACATTATTTTGTGGGGTTACAGTTACGTTCACTTGTAACCAGCAATTCACGTGGCATACCATTTACCCACTGTGGAAAGCTGGTCCTAGAAATCAGTTTTAGCCAGCAAAATCACTGGCTAAAATGAGAGCGGCCAAACTTTTGTCCTACTACAAAATTACTAAGAAGTTCAATAAGCATTCTTCCACCCTTCATTAAGCATGCTGTGTGCTTTGGCAAGAAGCAGAGAAGCTTTGACAGTGAGCCGGAGCGAGGCATTAACTAAGGCCTGGTGGGGGCTTAGCAAAACGGTCACTGGGAGAAATTCTCAAATTTACCTTCAATACCGGCTTTGCGGAACAATCTCCTTGTACTCCCTCTTTGTGATTTCTTCGCTTTGGTAAAGGTTTGATGGCTGTGTTCACTCAATTATAGGCCTTTCTCTTGGATCTGTTGTTTCTAAAGTAGAAAGAGGAAAGAGTGAAAAAAAAGAAAAAGAAGAAAAAAAGAAATGGAAGAAAAACACAAAGCCCGTTTCTTGAAAAAATGGTTGTGATGAAGGGACGGGCAGCCGGTGGCCAGCTACCTTTTCTTTTTGGAGGGCTATGCAGGGCTTGAGCCCTGTTATGCTGGCCGGGCTGAGTTGTAGAGATGGTAGCACCTGACTGTGTGCCAGCTGGCGCCTGGTCGACCATGGTAAATACCAGCTTTGGTTGGGGGTGGGAAGAAGGGGGGTTTCCCATAACCCAACCCATGAATTTGCCTCTAGGCCAACCAAAGAATAAGAATCTAACATTGGGAAGGTCTGCTTAACTTGCGTATTTTATTTCACGTATTGTTTTAACCCTGCTGTCTACATAATACAGCCAATAACCTGTGTCGCATAGCCATCCAGGCTGAGCTGGCTGCTGTCTGGCTGCCTTGGTGCCATGGGTGGAAGGGGTGGGGGAGGCGGGGGGAGGCCCTGAGCGCCGACAGCGGGGACCTGAAGCAGTGGTACGGCAGGGTGGAGGTGCACGGGGACCTGAGGAGGCATGGCGTATGGTGCTGCGGGCTGCAAGCTGACCGGCAGGGCTCCTCGCGGGCCCTGCATGGGGTATTGGTGAAGAACATTCAGCTGAGGAGGAATCACGTTCATCACAGGAACCGGAGCGTTACCCGGGACGGCTTGGGGAGGAGGCTCGCTTTTAGGGGGATCTGTAGAACAAGAAAAACTACATTCAGAACCTGTCATTTTTCATCCTCTATGAAGGTTTAACTGTTGATTTAAAGTACTGTATATTTATTCATGTATAACCATATTTAATGAGTTTATAAATGATGAAATACTTCACAGAAAGTGTTAATGGATTAAACAAATGGTAGACTCAAAAACAGATTTTGCGTGAATAAAACAATTGTGAGACTTTCAAAAGGAATAAATCAACTTCAAAGAAATTGCTCTTTCCCCTAAAATGTACTGACGTGCGGGTGCCTGCGGGTAATTTCTGTTTGTGCCTGTTCACTGAGCACTGCTACAGCACCACAATTATCTCCCCCTGCTAGCCTCAAACATTAATCCCAAACACCATGACTACTGCTCCTATTTTAGCGAGAAAGGCTGATTTATTACTTTTATTATCTGCATTTCCTCAAGCAGTAGCAGTAGTGTTTTTAGAGCGGTGATAAACAACAGTACAGAGGAGACAGAGGAGGGGTGTGACCTGCTGCTGCTGCTGCTGCTGCTGCTGCTGCCGGCTGCTCCTCCTCTTGTCGGTTCCAGCCTCCTGGTCCTCCTCTCTCCCTCTTGGAGTAATAATCCTGAACGTCTGCGGGTAGCGTCCTCCTAACAGCCCAGCTGGATGCCGATGACCAGCCTGACCGGTCGAGCATAGAGTCTCCCGGGTCCGACTCTTTCCTTCGGCCACCGCCCCGGTTTTCATTGAAGCGGCTGTACGCGTCATTCCCTGAATTGTTGCCTGTACCTGAGAAGTTGTTTCTGGGCTGCCAGCGGCTGTCGGACGTTTCCTCTTGCTGGTTGTAAAAGCTACGGTTGCTGCCACCGCGGCCCGCACCCCGGCCGCGTTCGAACCCTCCGCGGCCCCCGCGGCCCCTTGCCTCTCCTCTGTTCCCACCACTGTTGCGGGTGTCTTCCCAGCGTGAGCCGCCACTGGAGGTTGAGTCCCGGTTCCTGCCATCGGCATCACTGCGACTCTTTTCTGTGACCCAGTCAGGATTTTCCGACCAGCCCTGGCGTTCAGGGGAACTTTCTGTAGGCACACCATTTTCAAAGCGCCCAGCGCCTCCGTGATGCCTCCGTCCCTCACCACCAGACCCGCTGCCCTGCCCAGACCTCCAGCCCCCTCTACGCTCCTTCCTCTGGGGAGACTGCTCTCTCGAGGTCGGTCGTTCAGGGCTTGAAGCTCGCCTGTAGGACCTTGTTCTGGAACGCGACCTGGACCTGGACCGAGACCGGGACTTGGACCTGGAGCGGCTCCTGGATCGCCGCCTCCTCCTTTCACGACTACGCTCCCTCCTAGAATAGTCTCTCTCTGCGTCCCGGTCCCTGTCTCTTTCTCTGCTGCGAGCTCGGGACGAGCGGCTCGAGGGCGGGCTGCCATCACGTTCTCTAGACCGCGAGCGTGAGCGTCTCGATGGTTCTTGCTTGGAGTCCCTCTTAGGTGACCAAGTAGAGGTTGGGGAGTGGAAGCGAGAGCGCCGCTGTCTGCCATTCTTCCTCTCTTGACTCCTCTCTCTCTCGCGTTGGTCCTTGCGGCTCTCGTCCTTGGCGACTTGGCTTTCAGAAGCATGAGGTTCTGCAGCAGCTGGGGCAGCACTCTCCTTTGGTAGCTCGAAAACAGGATCCTTATCATGCTCGCTGATGGGTGAACTGCAGTCCATGGCAACAACTTCATTGTCATCCTTGGATTGACTGTCATCCTTGGTTCCTTCCACAGAGCTGTCAGCCACTGAGCGCTCCTCTGATTCAAGCTTTTCTGTATCAACGCCCTCGGAAGCTTTGGATTCTGGGACAGCTAAATCATCTTCTGACTCTCCGGCAGAGGGGGAAGCCGGTTGTGGGGAATTCTCACATGATTCAGGCTTCACTTCCTTTGAGTCTTCATTGTTAAATTCTTCTGACTCGCAGACCTCCATGTTATCATCCTGCTCATCACAGTGTGGAGACATCAGGTTGTCCAGCAGAGCGCTGTGAGAGTCGGAGGGGGATAGTGAAGCCCTTTTCTCATCTTCTTTTTCTTCAGAGGAAACGGGGCTTGGCGGCTCTTCGTCCTCCCTCCCCTGGTCGCCCTCAGAACACGAACCGGGGCTGTTGTGAGCCGAGTCTGAGCGACAAGACAGGTCATCGCCTCCCTCATCCGGTTTCTGTTCATGTTCATTAGATTGTTCCTGAGTTACATCGCTGTCCTGTCCCATGTCGTTACTCAAAGCTTCGGCGCCTCCTCGCTCATCAGCAGAGTTGAAACCGTCCTGGTCTTCATTGTGGCTCCCTTCAGCGTCAGACTGCGGCTGCTCTGAGTTGTTCAAATCCTGCTCCTGATCAGTTTTGTCTTTTTCCTCCTCCTTCTCCATGTTGTCGTCCCCATCTCCCTCTTCCTCCTCCTCACTTGCTGCCGGGCTGTTAACGACTTCAGGAGAACGTTTTTTTCTTGCTGTGGCTTTCCTTTTCCCACTGGCCTTTCGGTTTGTTACCTGTTTGCCCTTCCTCTTGGCTGGCGCCTGAGAAGCCCGGCCCGGTCTGGTGGGCTGGCCGGTAGATGAGTCAGAGTCTGACGAGCTGGGCTGCGGCGGTGATGGTGGGTCAGATGCTGGAGCCTCTTCCTGGGTTTTATTGTTGCGTCCAGACCGCCTGGCTGGTAGAGACTCGGCCTCTTTGGTGGGAGCTTTGGAGGTTGAAGCTCGGCCACCTCTCTTCTCTCCTCCTTTGGGACACGTGATGGCGCAGACAACACCTTGAAATACTGTGGGGGAGAAACGATATGAGCAAGGCCCAACTACATTTACACATACAATCAGCAGTTTATTTAAAATCTTACAGGGCAGCTACTAAACTATTTAGATTATACCTCATTTAGAAATCCATCAGGTAATATATACTGCTTCAGTTTCTCTTTAACAAAAAAAAAAAAAACAGTAATCATGCACCCAAATGTGTCATATAATAAAGAATGACTTGTATTTGAACCCCACCTTCAAAAAAGAAAAAACTGTAAACTGAGGCTAAATAATGAATTTGCTTATATCTCTTTATTTACACATTTAGATTCCAGTGTGTAGGATTTAGTGGCATCTAGCGGTGTAGTTGTGGATTACAACTCCCTTGCCTTACCCTCCTGTTTGTGTGTAGGAGAAACTACGGTAACTGTGAAACCTGAAGGCAAATGCCCCTATTTACAGCCAATGTTTGGTTTGTCTGTTCTGGGCTACTGTAGAAACATGCTGGAAACAACGATTCCTACATTCAGGTGGTTATACAATAATGAAAACATATCTATGAATATTATATTCAGTTTCTGCCCATAGATTATCCTCAATGTCACTGGACTTTTAAGTTCCAATCTCAAAAAACAAAAAGATTCATGACAAAACCCTGTCGAGACAAGACTCACCAAAATGACCAGGGCCAAACAGTGAGTTGGAGGAAAAGGGAGATGAGCCAATGAGTCCTAATGGAAATGGGCTGTGGTTCCAACCAGTGGGATGGAAATTCTGCCTGTAAAAATAACAAAAAAGACACTAAACAACTTAGCGCAAAGATACCATCTGTTACATTTCTGACAGGGACAAAAGAAAAACAGAGGCAGAGCGTGGCCAGTTTGTGGTGCAGAGTTGTAACATTTAACCAGAGAGGGAACATGGATGATTACGTGAGTCACAGAGAGAAAACCCTCTGCCCCAAAATAGCACAAATCAAATTAAGTCTGCCCGTGGTGAAGGATTCATTTCAGCTGTGGGAAACACCGCTTGCATTTCCCGACCAGCAGAGGAAAGCCAGACCGATAACGCATTTACCTACTGCAGAGGGGCGGGTGGTGCTAGTGGCTTCTCTAATTATCTTCCATTTTCCTGTTAGGCTCTGTAGGTGTCTAAAAACATTATGCTTAAAAAAAATATTTCAATTATAAACACCACAATAATCACAGTGTGAAAATGTGAAACCCTTGCATACTTAATACTGTGTGTGCAAAGTCATGTTTAGATGGATATTTATAACCGTGTATGACAATTGCAAAAATGTGTATTCATAATCCTTAATGATCACAATGACGTAAGAGCTGTCCCTCGCCTCTACAGTCTGCTTCTTCAGAGTTCCTGTGACTCAGGATAACTGACTTGTCTGCACTGCTCTCTGGTTAAGAATACAGGAGGAGAGAAATGTACAACAATACAGCCTTCATTTTGTTCAGTCCGGCTCCTAAAGCAAGACAAACTGCCCAACGATAGGCCTCCACATTTTTCCTGCAACTGATGTAATTCAATCTTCTAATAAATATACTGAACAAAATTATAAA